AATGTAACCTTTACCTTTGGAAATCCCTTGGGTATATTCCAAAAGGAGTCTTTAGTCTTTACTGAGAACCTCATTTTCACTATAGGTGTCATATTATCAAGAGAGTCGCTGATTTTTATTAATTCTGCTTGTGGCAAATCATGATAATCTCTTTCACACAATTTGCCTAGTCGGCCAATAAAATCAGTCTGGCTTCTTGTTATACCATCAACACATTTAAAAACAGTTCTAAATGATAGCTCATTCTAACGTAATGAACAGGCAACTGTATGTAATCTTCGATGGAGCTTCTTCTCCAGAGCAGTTATAAGGCCTGCTTTACACCCAGTATTTGTGTTGTCCAGAAAAATAACCTCATACTGTCAAATTCTTCCAAAACGCTAAAAGCTTCTTCTGCTAGAACAACACCAGTGGCATCTGTAGTTGGAACTACTCTGTGAATCAGGGATTTTCCATTCTCAGTTCCTGTTTATTTGAGTAAATGTTAAATACTGTTCTGGGCCCCTCTCTTTTTTTTAGTTTAATGTCACAATTTTTCCTTATAACTTCTTTAATTCCTTATGTAACAAAGTTTCTTTTTAATCTTGCCATCAACTCCTCCTTAACAGAAAAGATTTTTAATATGTTCAGTGTTTCTTTCAAGTAACATTACTTTGATTTTAGCCTTTTCTCTATCTATTTTGGACTTATCAATTATATTTTTAAAATCGAAACCGGTATTTAAAAGAAAAGACCATAGTTCGTTAGCAAGAGATGCTCCAAGATTAGAAGAAACATTTCCCCTATTTTGCATTTTCTTCAGATATTTTAATAAAAAATTTGAAAAAATATTACTCTAGGTAATAATAATAAATTAAACTACAGTATCATACGTATTATAAAACCCAGGTTGTGTGTGTGTGTGTCTGTTTCGTTTATATATTGAATCGGATTTCCTACATTTTTCAACCGATTTCAACAAAACTTCACAGGACTACGTAAAATTACCTTGCGGTGGTTCTGACAGTGCCAAAAATTGGAAAAATACAATTGTTTTTGCACAAAATCAATTTGAAAACACGATTAAGAGGCATCGCTGTCGAGAATGAAAGGGGGACAACTCATATCGAGTTATACTTATTATAAAACTCAGGTTGTTTGTGAGTGTGTGTCTGTGTTCGTTTATATATTGGATCGGATTTCCTACATTTTTCAACCGATTTCAACAAAACTTCACTTTTTTTGGCAGGTAGTGTTTCTTATTGTCTTGCACACTTTTTCTTTATTTTCACATTCAGAATGCTTTAAAAATTCTATTTACATACAATTGTTTATAATTCAGGTGGCTGAAGAAGGCTGGAACGTACAACAGCCGAAACGTTGTAATAAATAAATCTGGCGACAAAAATGAGGACAATAGTCCGAATAATAAAAATAGTGTAAATTAAACTACACTGTCATAAAATAAAAACTGAAATAAAACTATCGCTTGAAATAAATCAGGACATATTTATAATCTATGAATGGTTTTGCTGAATTCCTTGAGGAAAAATTTCTTTTAGGAAGAAAAGTAAACTAAAAAAATAATTTTTTATTGATCTTAACATAACCTGCGATTCGAATACATCGATATTGACTTTATTTAACTACATGTAAATGATTTAGTTTAAAGTTAAAATTTATAAAATATATTTCTTATAATATAATTATATATTTACTACTTTATATATTTATCATTTGAAGTATTTTAAAGAAATATTAAACCTTAGTTTTAATTTGTTTTATATTCACTTTATTTCTAAGCATGGAATAATCTGGCCAGGGCATTTATTTCAGTTAACACCGCAACAATCTCTGAGATATCAATTAGTTTGATTTTAATTGCATTTCTTCGAATGGAATCGAAATTTTAACTTAAAATATTTTGTGTGTGGTTTTATATCATGCCCCAACTATTTAGACCTGTCCAATAGTCTGGTTTAAAAATCGACCTACCCTAGTATATATATATATATATATATATATATATATATATATAGAGAGAGAGAGAGAGGGAGAGAGAAAGAGAGAGAGACATAAAGGCCCAGGAATATAGATAGATATTTGGCAATCAGAAAGACTAACGTTCGATACAGACACCAATTTGATTCCACTGGAACGTTTCCACTATAAAAAATAGGAATTATATATATATATATATATATATATATATATATATATATATATATATATGCCAAAATGCAAAAAGTTTATTTGTGACGCGTTTTATCTATGAGGACTTCATCGGGCTAGGTTTGTTGGGAATAACAAAATCAGTCCGATGATGTCCTGAGGAATGAAACGCGTCACAAATAAATTGTTTTACAATTTCTCAATACTGTTCTTGATATATAAAAATATATTCTTCATCTCATATATATATATATATATATATATATATATATATATATATATATATATATATATATTATTATTATTATTATTATTATATTATTAAACAATCGAATATAGCTTGTAGATA